TTGTCATTAAGTCCTTTTACATTTAGTGTTGCTATTTTTAATTTGGTTTTTTGAGTTATAAATTATATGAGGTTGTTGGATCCCTTGAATTGGGAATGGCTTGCTTCTCCATGAGTTTTTTTGTATGGAGATGATCTTGTTTCATCTTTCTTAGATGTTTTGTTTCCTTTTTTGTTTTTTCTGTTAATAACTATGATAAAGCCATCTGTTTCTTCATTTTTGTCAGGAGGAGAAGCTGCTTTAGAAATGTGACTTGCAGATGAATGTGGTGTTCTATAGCCATAAATGGCGAGTTCATCTCTTGGTAGCATTTATGTATCTGGTAAAAGATCTTCTTGGGTTGTTACTTGCATTTGTTCATCTGAGCTGTTATTTGTTGTAGCTAATTCTGCTGAAACTGGAAGCTGAAGGTTTTGCTAATAGCTAGGGTCAGTTTCCTCTAAGGCCATATGCATATCATCTTTTGTAATATTTTGTTCTTGCTGCTTAGAGTTTGCTGGTGATAGAGGTTCTTCATTGCTCTGTTTGGTACTTTTTGGAGTCTTATTTAATTCCTGAAAGTCATTTGAGAGTCTTCTATTATGTTTGTCCTCTTTGTATTGTTAGTAGCTAATTTGTAAATTTACTGAGTCCTGAAATTGTTAGCATTCTTTTTTAACATGGCCTTCTTTTTCACAGAAGTAGCACATCTTAGGTGCTGATTTCCATTCTGTTGTGACCTTATTGTCCCACACGTGTGTGAAACAAGGTATTTTACTTTCTAGGTTAGGATCATCTGAGTTCTCAAAGATTATAATCTATTGGTCCATAAGGTAAGGTGTTCCTTCGATCAGTAAGGGCTTGATTAATGCGATTCTTTCCACAAACTCAAAGGCTTCTTTTATAGCATCTGATATTGCTTCTTTGTTACCTAGCAGAACATTTCTGATTTTAACTGAAAGAAATAATTTTCTTGAATCTGTAGGAATAAAGCTGAAGTAGGTTCTACCAAAAAATATTAATACCCTTGATAGCATGATGTTTAAATTTGTCTTTGTTTTTGAACACAATTTCTAAATGTGTGCGTGTTCCTTTTGTAAAGTGTTGTTTTGCTGCTATGACTTCCTCTTTAAGGTTTTTGAATTATGAGGCCATAATTTTATTAAAAGAGCTGTGCATGCCTTGGATGTCTATCATTAAAGCATTTTCATTTTTTGATCTAATTTGGCTTCTGGGCATGAAGAAGAAGTAGGTCAACTGACCCCTTCTTAATTTTGAAAAGAGACTAGACCACTGTTTAGTTAGTGTCTCTTTTGGACCTTTTTGTTTGTAGCTGTCTTTTTGTAAGTCATTGTAACATTAGTTTTATGTGTTTAACTTAATGAACTGCTACTTTGTGAGTTTTCTATTATGTCTAACTCCTATCCTGTTGTGTTTTCAGTTTCTCCTAAGTTGTCTAATATTACCTGTTCCTCAGATGTGTTGTTTGTTATTGTGTTTATAGTATCTTTAGATGTGTTATTCTTGTTTACTTTTTGGTCTTGAGTAGCTTTCATTCTTTCTATTTCTAGTTCAACTTGTTTGTCCCAGCTTGTTGAGTTTTCACTAAGAATTTCTTTTAGTATCTGCTTTTCTTTTTGTTTGTGTTTGGTGGTTTCTTCTATATCAGTCATCAGGCTTAAAGAGCTTGACATGTTTTCTTTATTTTTCTTTACTTTTTTTCTGCTGCTTGTTGAAGCCATTTTTTTGGTTGTTTTTACGCTTTTTGTGTATTGAAATTCTGTAAAAGACCTTTTTCTTGGAACAAGGGCAAGGGCCCTTGTTTTAGTAAATACTTTAGCCAGTTTTGTCTTGTTGTTTGCTCTTATTTTTAACAAAAGAATTACTTTACTCCAAAACTTGTGTGTTCAGAAGAGAGTGTATGCAGATCTTATAATAATTTATTTTACAAAGATATATATAACTAAATAAATTAAGAAATATTAAATTATAATTTCTAAACATTGAGTAATAAAAACTTAAAAAAAATAAAACAATGATCTAATAAAGATAATATGAATTTGAGAAGTAATCTATAATATCTTTTTTTTATATATTTATAAAAAAAATTTTTTAAATTTTAAAAAACTTAATAATATAAACTAACTATTTGTTTTTTATTTTTATATAATTTTTAATACAATATAGAATAATTGTAAAAAACAATATAAAAAGTATCTAAAATAAGATTCTATAAAATTTTAATCTTCTATTAGAATAACTGTTATATAATTAGAAATCATATAAGATATCTGAGTAATTATATATATATAAATCTTTATAAATTATATATACTGTCAGAAGTAAAACTGACACTTCAAAGAATCTGCAAAGTAATTATTATAGTGACATACTTATCTAATTAGTGATGCCTATAATGATCTATTTAAAACATATACATCTAGTTTTAAAAAATTATATGATGATATACAAACCTTAATGCAAAATTCTAACACTCTCTCCAATTAAAAAAAGATTATTTGGACCAATCTGTTTGCATCACTATGGCTGAGAATAGATGTTACCTCCATTTTATCCTTTTTAGGTTAAGTGTAAGATAATATCAAAAAAGGATGTAATTGTAATAATTATATTATTCTGATCTTAGAACAAATGATACTGAAATATTCTTATCAGTTCTATAAAGGATGTAAGAAATGTTAAAAAAATAAAAAGTTGTATAAAAGAAGTTAAAGATTAGACAAAAAAGGTTGAAAAATAATAAGAACAATAAAAAGAGTTGTAATCTTGAATGTATTCTTTTTGCAATTAATTTATTATAAAAAAAAGATAAAATTTTCTTCTCTCAAAAAGTAGTTTAGTTCAAGCCTATAGTTTAGAATCATATAATAATATAGTTCCATAGTTGTATTGCCCTTACAAAATAATAAAATTTTTAATAAAAACCTTCTTGAACCATCAATACAATAAAACTTTTTAAAAATTATAGTACTTATTTTGTAACATTCCTTAAATGATTACCTCAACCTTGTGCCAAATAATAAAACTGCCTCTATTATCTTTGAGGAATGTTACATGACATAACCAATTTTCAAGCAACAATTCATCATATTTGCCCCATCTCTAAACTCACCTATCTAACTTTTTACAACACAAAAGTCTTTATAGATAATGATATTAGAAGTTAGTTTGTTATTAGTTAATAAATGAACAGAACAATAATATGCTTACTCATTTAGCGAAGAAATATATTGTATATATTCTGAAGTTAAATTCATATACTATAGCTTCGATTTTATCTTGATTTTGTTATTTTTTGTATTGTTTTTTATTCTTTTAAAACTTGTAATTTGATTGGCTAAACAACATATGACAATACATAAACATCGTGTAACATTGGACGTTCCCCCTGCTATATTACTGTATTAATGTATTAGATATTAGCCAATCAAATTCAATGAAGACCATCTGAGCCAATAAAAAAGAACTTCGGTCATACATAAACAGCTTTTAATCTTTAACTCTCACTTAAAGTATTCATCGAGGAATAATTTCATTTTTCTTCCATTCATTTTTGAGTTTAAATTTATATCTTTGTAATTGTAGATTGGCCAAAAAGTATTGTGAATATATTCATCTTAGTTATTCTTCGGCTGTGAAACATGACATTGAATCAAGATGTTGGAAAATTGCGGTTTACTCATTACTTGATCGTCAAGCAATTCTTTGGAGAGACGTCAATCTTCAAATAAACCATCATCATCATCATCATCTACTCTTATTTTAAGCCAATTTAACATCTTTTTAGATGAAGCTGAAATGTTTTATAAAAAACTATTAAAACTTATTTTTGAAAAGTCGAAACTTAGTAATAAGAATTTGGAGAGCAATAACCTCCAAGGTGGATACGTTGTATAGGTTGTTCGAGGGACATTGCTAGATATCATTGGTCATATTGCTCGGAAGATCAAGAAAAGAATAAGCAATTCTGGCAGAAAAATGCATCTCGATGGTATCATTTAGGGATTCTGCTCAAATATAATAATGGCATAATAATTTAATACTTTTACTTGTAGTTAAACTTTATATTTTATATATATTTATATTTATTTCTAGGAAAATTTTATAATCATTTGGCTATTCTCGTGGGAAAAGATGAGTTTAAAACTTATATTATTATTGTAAAAGGTACGCATATATATTTATTAGTGTAATCTTTTAATGTTATATTATTTATTCATTATTATAACAATTTCATACTTCATTTAAAGCCTTATGGTTGATACACCTCATATGGCCGCTCGTGAGCCACTTATTTGGTTATTCGAATCAAATCGTAAACGTTTTGCAACTCTAGTAACATGCAATAATAAACAAAAGCAAAAAAGCCGTACTTATATGCAACGTGAAACTTTACCTTCTTCAAATATAATCAATCAATTGAGAGCTTGTATATCAGATTACATGGAATGCTTTTACCAAAGTTGATCTTGAATTTTTTGATCAGATTTTAGAAATATTTATGAATAAAAATGATTCAAATGGAAAAATATTAAGAGTTATAATGATACAAATGGGACAAGGTGGCTGTAATTTTGCATGCGAATGGCGGTTATTGATATTTCAAGCTTATACAACTATAGCAATACCGAAAATTTGTCTCCCAGGTTAACCACATCAACTAATATGGATTTTAATCAAATTCTAGATTTAGATCCAACATTTGCTAAAGAAACTAGGCTTACTTTTACTGTCGTGTATCAATTCATATCTAAATATCTTGACTCTATATCATTTCAGGGTAAGTTGATGTTTCCGAGGGCTTGCTTTTATATTGTGAGATCGTGTTATTTTGGATGGAGCAAATGAAGCTTTTAATAATTTTGCAGAAAAATCTAATAATTGTATTTGGAGAAAATTTTTGGACAAATATATTTGTCCTGATTTTTGGGATACTTTGGTTCGATTCCTCACAAAAATTGCCCATCAAGTATATCCATTTACCATAAAAGAAATTATAGAATTTTCATCAAACGTTGAAGATTCAAATTCTATAGATGCGTCTTCGTCCTCCTCCATCAAGTGAAGATTGGGAATTACGTGGTATTTCTATATATGCTTGTGAAACTGGTGAAATTGGTGAAATTTATTACAGCAGCCAATCAGATTTAGATAGCCAGCAGTTTCACCAGTATCTATAGGTATTTCTTGGCTCAGTCACTTTATGAACCTTATATGTTTGAACATGTACCTAAACCATATATGAAATTTGTGGATGATGACATTGAACTTGTCATAAATAATATTAATGATGATTTGAATCTGATTTCTGATCAAGATTCTAAAAGTTGTCGTAGAGCAATGATTATGGAATTGGGTTATCTATTAACTAGGGTAATTTAATTCGTCCATTTACTCATAATTTATTCATATTTTCTTTATCAATGATGGAAGTAATATTTACTGTTTAATATATATGGTTTTACAGAAAATCATTGGTTTAGATTTTAATATTGAAGATATCACTTTTACGTCTTCCTTAAAATTAGTTGATGAAATTTCTGACAAGGAAAATGAACATCCTTCAAATTTATATACTGAAGATGATGAAACTAATCCTGCTACGTACAACGAAATCTACAGATTTTCCCAATAATGAATACATTAGTGATCACAATGAATCAGACGATGAAGGGATATATAAATATTTATGTAAATATTCACGCTATATACATGATATTACGTTACCTATTTTATTCAGTCTCGCAAACAAGAATTAGAGAATCTTTTAGCTGCAACTCGTGAGGGTCCTCGAGGTTCCTCAACACAAAAATTTTCGTCAAGAATTCCAAGAAAAATATCTCTCATGCAACGAAAAAGGTGATACCACCTTCGCCTTTTAGAATTGCTGAGGATATACTACAATCGTGATAGATACCAATTGCCTTATCGGGGATCTCAACATGGTCAAAAAAATGATAATTGGATGGTGGCTGTACCTTTGGTTGGTAAGTAAATATTAAATATTAGTGTTCTGTAGAAGATTCGGACCGATCTGATTCACTGGTGATCGAATTCGGATCCACATAGAGGATCCGAACACTAGTTAATAATAGAAGCATTTGAGTTTTATTTTATTTTATTTTATTTATTTAATTTTTTTCTTATTCTCATAGTTATCGCGGAGTTTGATGGGTTAAAACTTAACCCACCCCCTCTTGGCACTGCAGCATCCGAGGCAATTACTTATCTTGAACAAGCTTTATCATTGTCTAAAAAACTCAGTTCAGACAAGTAAAGGCAATTATGTATTTGGATTAACTTTAGTGAAGAATTTGATTTTGGTGATGGTGAAAATAAAAGAAAATTTTGGGTGATCTTATTCTTGGCATCTGTCTTTGGCATACCAATAATCACGGGTTAACGGTTTTCATAACAAATCAGGAAAAGGAGATAATAATGAGGCCGTTGTATTGCTTACAAATGATCGAAACCTTTGAGTCAAAGCGCGAGCAAGAGGTGTTGAAGTTGTGAGTAGGGTCACAGCCCAAACTGCTTTTTTAAATAATGATATTGATACATAATTTGAGTTTGGGAATTGGGATTCCTACTTTATTTTGGTTCATAAACTATGACCCAAAGATATATTCCATTTTCGATCAATAATATCAAACTCAAAAAAGCCAATCAAATTTGTTAAATTAATGTTAAGAAACCATATACGCAAAACTAACCAGAAATGGATTTATAAACCGAGATCAGGATAGATATTTATATAATACAAAAAAGACGTATGATTAGTAATTTGATTGGCTTGATAAACCTTATACCTTATGGCTTCTGGTGGTAATAAGTTTTATTTAATGATCTTAAAGAATTTTAAGATACTGGAATGGTCATGGCCTTGTAATACAATAGGTACGTCATGTGCGTTATTTCGAGATAAAAGCCTATTCTTTGAGCCTATTTATTACTATACAGTATATATAAATCCATATATTGTATAAAGTTTGCGTTATTTCGGGACGCCCATGGGCTTATTTGAAAACAAATATACCGTTTTTAAAGGATTTGACTTCGAAATAACGTCCATGTTCGTTATTTCAAGTTTTTGTAGACAAATGTTACTAGCTTTCAATTGACAAGAATCTTAATGTACTCAAGGCTTTTCTTTTTTTATTGAATCGTGTGCTAAAAATTGGTTGAAGGATTTTACCACAAGATCGAAAATGTTATTACCAGTCTTTTTGGAGATGTATGATCTTGAATGTCATGATGCTTATATTAATCTTAGCAATAGCATAAAAGAGTAATGATTCATTTATTAAAATCTATGCCACCGTATGGCTCTTCAACAAAAGCTTTTATGATTAGGATCAAGCGAAAAATTTATATGAAATAAATAAATAATATATAAAGGGAATGTTTGCAATAATAATTGATATTGTAATAGATACCATTTGTAATATCTGTTAATACATATTCAATGATTTGTCACGATTGTCGCATATTAAATGATTCGGATAAGAACCTATTAAATATTGAGATAAAAAATAAATCAAAATAAAATGAGTAAAAAATTGATTTATACACATTATGAAAATGCTATGATTACCTACTTTAATCATATAGCAAATTTAACTAGTAATCGACTTTTGTCTAAGGAATCTTTTTTACCAATAAATTCCTTTTTTACAAGAACCCCAAATGAATCGATTATCAGTAATCTAATATTTTTCTTGATAATAAATTCTTGAAAATTCTCTAATCTATCAAAAAAATAAATTTCCAAGAATCTATTTTATAATAAGGAAATAATTTTACATATTTTCCAACTTCTTTGAGGATTTGGATTCATTAAATGAACTGCATCGATCATTTTTTTCAGATTATCCTGACATTGTGGATTTTCATCGACGAAAAAATATATGGGAATCTATACTTTGCGATTTTCATTAACCTATAGATCTTAAAATGAGAATCGTGTATAAAAAATAAACCATGGTTTAAAATATCCAAAAAAGACATTAAAAATACCTTTCCGCAGGGAAAGCGCCTTGAGTACTTGTACAGCATGTTCCTCCGCCAAGACCATTCATGCAAACAGGTAATGTGGCAAGAATTGATAGTGTAAGGCAGAATTGAAATTTGTGGGTCTCAATTTCTGTTAAGGATAAGCATGGTATACCTCCGCCTAATCTTATATCTAGTTCAGGCAATGACGTTGACATGAAAGGTTCTTTGGTTTCCTTATAAAAATTTTTTAATAGATCTAGAGCCTAGAAAAGGAATCATTATTAGAAAAAACAATTTTTAGGAGCTTAATATAAATTAAAATAGTAAAAGACTCACGGTTCAATTTTTTGGTGCTATCCATTTTGCATCTTTCTTTTGTACGTTCTTCGTGAACTCAGGTTCCCAATCGCAACGTTTTCCTAAAATTCTTATTGAATTTCGAGGTAAAGAAGCTAATGTTAAGAGCTGTCTTGGTTTAATAAATAAATGAAGGGGAATACGTGAGAGTTTACGATCTGAATTACATTTATGTGTATTTTTGTTTTAGGTTAGTCAATATTAACCAATCAGAAGACTTAGTCCGAATTTCGCATGGTACTATGTATAAACAATAAAACATAAACAATGTGAAACATAAACAAGAAACATGAACACGATTCACGTTCTTTACATTCGTGTTTAACTGTTTTTATTTTGTTTCCATTTTTAATACATATCGATATGTTTATTTTGAATTGCTAATTTGGTTTGATAAAAAATTTTTGTACGTGTTTGTTTTATGTAAATTTTTATATATAAAGGCATGAAAAATTCCTTGGTGAACATCATAATCTGAATAATACCTTTATATGTATTAAAAAGAAATTGTTAAATATATTATATATAACTTTTGTTTCAATAATTATTTTTTGCAAACCAAAAAAATTTAAACATTTTTAATTGGAAGTAAATTCAAAGAAGACCTGAAGAAAAAACTTGAAAATTTAAAAATATTTTATTAACAGATAAGTATATTTATAATATAATTTTAAAAAATTTTAATATATAAATGTTATAAATATTTATATTTATATTTTTTATTTTTAATACAATAGTAAATTTTGAATTAAAAGTGTTTAAATTCTTACTAGTTGCAAAAGTATTATTATTTTATTTAAAGTTATATTAAATATTTAAAATTCCTTTTATAATATAAATTTATATTTGGATTATCATTTTTGGCATGCCAATATTAATAGAAAACAGTTAAAGTTACTTTTTGATAATAAAATATATTAGGCAAAAGATTTTTTTACTACATAAAAAATTATTTTTGTTATAGTGAACCTTGTTACATAGTGAATTTACAAAAAAAAAATAATAGTAAAAAAATCTTAAAGCCTAATAATTTTATTATAATTAAAGTAACTTATACGTATTAGTAAATTCACTATTAATTATATAAAAAGTTCACTATAACAAAAAAATTATTATAACAAGGTTCACTATAACAAGCAATACGTATATATTTTAACTGTTTCTATTAATAATTACGAAGACTGTTTTCTATTAATAATAATTACCTCATCATTAATATTAAAAAAAAATAATAATAATAATTACGAATAAAGACTGTTTTCTATTAGTTCATAGTGCAATTTGCAATTATGCATATTTGTTTTTGCGTACGTGCATAAACGTGCGTAACATGTATGCAATAATTATTGAACCGCCGCTACGTTGTTTTTTATTTGCATCGAATTCTGTACTGAATTCTGTGCAGAATTGCACTGGTAAAATTTTTTTAGAATATTGTACAACTACACTAAAACTAAAAAATTGCGGTTTGTTGCATTACCATTTTTTTACCGTATTTTTTTTTTTTGCAAATTCAAATGGAACCAAAAATTAACGACGCTTTTAAACAACTAAATTTCGATGGGTGTAAAAAATTTGCAGATACAGACGAAGCAAACGGAAATTATTTGCTTGGTTACTGTTACGAATTTGGAGTTGGGGTTGAAAAGAATGAAAATGAAGCATTCGTTAATTATCAAAAATCTGCCGACCTTAATAATCCAGACGGACTGTATCAAGTTGGTTATTGTTATAATTTAGGAATTGGAGTTGAAGTTAATAAGCAAAAAGCATTCGAAAATTATTTGAAATCAGCTGAGACGGGTAATTTAAATGGAATTTGGAAAACTGCTTGGTGTTACTATTACGGAATTGGCGTAGAAAAGAATGAAGATAAGTGGGAGGAATGGATTATAAAGTAAATTTTTAATTTTTAGTAATTTAAAGATTGAAATATTTTATATAATTTTAATAATTAAATTTATTTATTAGGGAGTAAGTATAAAAAAATCTGGTAATTACAATTAAGTTCATAAATATTAATTAATCGTTGGTATTAATTTAGCCCGTAAGTATAAAAAACATTTGGGGTCTTTGCCTTGAAAATGACCCTACGGAACATAGTAATTACTATATCCTATAAGATTATTTTCAAGGCAAAGATCCCATTTATTAGTCATTGGAATTTTGAACAGCAAAGCAAGTTCACAAATCAAGAACATCAATACTTATTTACCATTACTATTATGCAATTACTATTATGTAATAACCTTCAAATCATTTCATTCGCATTAATCATTCGTTCAGTCTGTGAGTATATAAACATTTATTAATCATTGGAATTAAAAAATCAAGAACATAAATACTTATTTACCATTATTATTATGTATTACTATTATGTAATATCCTTCAAATCATTTCATTCGCATTAATCATTCATTCAGTGTGTGAGTATAAAGAACATTTATTAATCATTGGAATTA